CCCCAAACACACAGCCAGGGCAACTAAGGAGTGGCTCCGTAAGAAGCATTTCAAGGTCCTGGAGTGGCCTAGCCAGTCTCCAGACCTGAACCCAATAGAAAATCTATGGAGGAAGCTGAAACTCTGCGTTGCCCAGTGATAGCCCCAAGACCTGAAAGATATGGAGGAGTGGGCCAAAATCCCTGCTGCAGTGTGTGCAAACCTGGTCAACAACTACAGGAAACGTCTGACCTCTGTAATTGTAAACAAAAGGTTTCGGTACCAAATATTAAGTTCTATTTTTCTATTGTATCAAATACTTATTTCATGCAATAAAATGGAAATAAATTTAAAAATCTAACAATGTGATTTTCTGGAATTTTTTTGTAGATTCTGTCTCACAGTTACGATGAACGTTACTGATCTGTCCATTCTTTGTAAGGGGGAAAACTTGGAAAATCGGCAGTGTATCAAATACTTATTTGCCCCACTGTAGTTATAGAACTAATCAAGACAACTGCAATTGCACCATTTTTTGGATGCATACTATGGCACTGCACCACAAAGGACAAATTATTTGAAATCATGTACATCAATAAAATGCTCATGAACCACAATGGAAAATATTAGTCAGCTTAGTCATTATCCTGAATCCCACTATTGTACATAGTAGTTTGAGGTCATATGATGTCTACACTCCCTCTACTGGGCTATAAGAAGGGCTGCACTGTGTTCAAGATAATTTCCATGTGACAAGATACAGCTAAAGAAATGTGCTGAGAATACAGGGAATATTTCAATCAAGTCTATTTTCTTCAAAAAAAAAAGACAATTTATTCATCCAATTAACACAAAAGTATTCTCAAATATTTGCATAAAAAGCCCATGTACAGTTTGAAACATCTCACTAACCACAACTTGAGCATGGACAAAATTATGTACACAGGAAATATTTAAGAATTTGCCATTATAAATGTAGAATTACAATATTTTTTTAAAACATGAACTTTTTTTTCCAAGTACACCAAATTGACTATGGTATTGCTTAAAGCAAATTATTAAAATGCATTTAAGGGGAATAATGAAGCTTATAAATAAAAGAAAGCTTTGTTCTTTGGTAGTCAAGTAAAGAAGTTGCACCACTTGGGGGGAGAAACGAAAAACAAACAGGTTCATAAATTTGAGAGGAAGCTGCAACACATCAGGGCAATTAGAACATCAGATGAACAGCTGCTGGTCTCTGGCCAAGGACTCTGAAAATGGGAGGGGGCTACCTTGCACTGGCGTGTCCACACTTAGTCCCAAGCCTGATGATGATGATGATGAGCTGTTGTGAGAATAAAAGAAATTCAAGGATCAATTCATCAGTTCAGCAATAGAAACTGAAAACAGTTCTTGAACTTAAATGACTGTCCGAGCATGTACCTTTCACAGTCGGAGTCACAGGAGACCTTGTCTTCCAATCTGATGCAACCACCCACAGAACGCTGTATGGCTTCAGCCACTGTATACCTGGTCTTACCAAGAGCACACCGTTCAATTTTTGTAATGCTGAGGTCCGACTGAAGAAACAGGTGGAGCCGACTGTCTGATAACAATAACGGTGTATGAACAACACTAGAGAAGAAAGGATTAAAATGAGATGAGAGCTAAAAAAAAGTTCCATAAATTGGGAGCAGGTCTCACTCTTCTTGCTTTCACTAGATAAATATGAAAAGCCTCTGATGGTGTGAAGTCTGTTTAATCAAAAAAAAAAAAAAAAAGTACCACTAGGTGGCAATGCTATAATTTCACTGCTGCCAACAGACAACTCACTTTTCTAAAAAGTCCTGCAGGCCCTTCATCCTCTGAAAGACCTGTTCTGTCTTCCTCATACTGAAGAAGGGGTTCCGAGGTGGCAACCTGGGCAATACACTGGACAGAGAGCAAGGAAACAAAAACTAATAAAACATTTCAGCAATGGCATGTCAAATGATACAAATATGTAGGATATGAACTGGTGAACACACATGATCAGAGCATTCTGTTCCAGACAATGCCGCAGCCAAACAAACTCACTGTAACGTCGCCGTACAGAGGAAGTCTTCTTTCGAAAACACATGCTATTGGTCTAAAACAAAAGACAATTTGACGCTTAACCCAAACTTCAAGTAAGCAAAAAAAAGTGCCCAAATAGTACAGCCCCCCCACCACACCTTCCCAAGAAACACTTACACATAAATGGATCTCATAATCAACATGTGTGCGCCAGAAGTCATCCTTGTGGAGCCTTGGATCCCGAACAGAAATGCTAACAAATTCCTGCAAAATTCAGAACTAGGGTTCTGTTTCCATTCATCAAAAGCAGTTGTAAAGATTTTAAGAAAATATCCAAATGTGTTTTGACAAACCTCTCCTCAGAATGTCAAAACCAGCTACAAGTGAAAAATTACAATCCAGCAACTGAGTATGCTTGAAATGACCACTTACATTTTCTGCGAGACTGTCTAGCATACTGTCCATAATGGGTACAAAAACCTGAAAGAAGAAATATGAACATCTGTGGCAATGAAAGATAGTGATTGTTGCAGCATATAATTATTTTGTACAATTTTTAAACAGGTCATTCAAGTTAAATTATGATGCATTTTAAATAAGACTGATGAAACGGCCTAAAGCCATTTTCAAAACAAGTTCCTTTGCACCTGATTAACTAATACTTCAATACCTCAAATGTAAACACTTAGAACTAAAAGGAACAAAGCAGAGTAGGACTTTGATGGCAACGGGAAATTCTGGCTGCAAACACTCAAATACAAAACAAAACGGAGCCTTTTTTCAAACTACAGGTAGAAATATAAACAGCTATGCTCATCAACTGAATAAATAGTCATTATGATGCAACACTTGTTGAAACTAGTTTATACTACTGTTAGTGACCGACTAATGAAGGTCCAAAAGTAATGCACAGCTTTTCATTAAAATACAAAAAGGTGTCTCCTTACAAAACAGGCATATCTCAAGAATTCAGCAACACATTGGATCACGCCATACATCCAAGCACACAAATCAACAATTTTGAAACCAAGTCCTAAGGTTACTTCAGAGTCACTCTGAGTCACCCAGCTCCACGCATCCTCTGCAAAACAACATCTGACTTATCCGTTTGGGTATTCCTTGCAATAACGTGTCCTAAACACATGTTTGTTCTTGTACAAGATTTATAGCAACAGTGATTTATTGGGCTTGGGGGGGGAAAAAAAAAGCAAAATCCACTGTTGGGAAAAAAAAAAATTCAATAAATTCCAGGCTCCTCAGGCCAAGTGAGGTCAAAGTGCAGGCTCAACAACGTAGCGTTCGTTTTTACACAGTGCAATCACTGTGCTTTGGGTGGCAATTAGCACAGTCGGTGCGCTAAAAATCATCATTTATTACTCAAAGAAATTATGTATAATTCTAGCCCAGACCCAGGATCACATGGCAGGGCTGAAGGACTAACATCTGCAGACTATAGAGACACATTTCTTGAAGTCAACGTGAATTAAAATTAAAGTAGCCTTTTGCCTCTTAAGTCACCTTAATTGTAAGAATACCGACAACTTCATGAATAGCTACCTTAAATGCAAACTACACAGAAGGAAATAAAAATTAGATAATTGTTATCAGTCACCATAAAGAAAACTTTATGAAATACGTTAACAAAAAAGTGCAGGTCAACCAAAGTTAACATACACTTTGGCACAAATAATTATACAATCTCGCAAAAAAAGGCAAAAGACTTTATTCTAATCAACACCTACCTTTTCAGCTCTTCACTTCCGAGCAGTGACCCGGTGTTTGCGAACCACCAGGAGCAGCTCAGTGGCTTGAGACTCAGTCGTGTCCCGACTAAACTACTACTGCTACCGCTAACTACTCAGTGTGACATCTGCTTCAAAGCTTGTTCAAGCGTTTTTGACCCAGGCAGGCCACACCACTATAAAATATACACAAAACATAGAATAAAAGATATAAAAACTACATTTAAATAGTTTAACTAAGCCACACGGAAATACGAAGATTCACCATGCTTCCTAGCAGAACTGTATGTATGGAAAATGCACACCTGACCCTAACGCTCAGGGTGGGATCAGTTTAAATGGTCTCACCTGGTGGGAGGAGCCTAACTAATGGTGAAGCAGTGACAGTATAAAGGGATAAGCGAGCCATCATCTAGAACAATTCATTGATAGGATGTGAAATTCGCCAATACTATTCTGATAATTATAAATATAGCTATGGTTTATGCAGCTTTCTTACTGTTTATATTGCTTTTAAGTGCCATAGCCTAATCACTGAACAAGAATGTTAGCCTCGAAGTCAGAGGTCAGCCCTTTTCTTCTCCCAGTGTTTAGTTAACATCTCAAGACACTTTCACTCACATCTGTAGATTAACATCTCATTAGCACTGATCCAGGACATGCACAGTCTTTATGGAGCAACAATTGAATGGACCCTAGGAAGAGTAGCCACTGCCTTGGTAGTAGCTAATGGGGATCCAAATAAATAAACAACTAAATAAAGAACTGACTCTTACCACAATCAAGTTAATGTAACTGTGCCAGTGAGTGTTTCATTTGTGCTACTCTCATTTCTCCATACTCTGGAAGAGAAACAGGGATGGTCTGCTCTGACTACAGGATTTAGTATTCATGTATAATTCTGTTCACTGCTCCACAGGGTAGACTGCTGTACGTTCTCTTTGGATGTCATCCACTTCTCCCCTTTGATGATTTGATTGGGTATGGCAAAAGAACCCCAAATGAACCATAAGCTTTCCCTAATTCAAATTCAAAGGGTAACAAAGAGACAAAGACTGACCAGATACCAAAAATAATATAGGTTATTCTAAGAATCTTTAGTTGTAAATATCATTGCGATTTTACAGTAGCACTTAGACTTTAAGAGTTAATTGCATGTATCCTCTTACCTCAACTTCTATATACCCATAAGTTGTAATGGTTTGACACTATCTGTAAAATTAACATCCAGAAATCACTTGACTGGTGTTCTGCTCAGCGGTATATGGTGGATGGTTTTAACTTGTTACAAATTCATGATGATTTTTAGCTACATTTTACAGGGTGCAGTCTGGTGCTTAGAGTTTTTTATGAACCACTTTTTTCACCAAGTCTGATTCCAGCAGTTACTCTCATGACACAGTATACTCCTTATATATTCAAGGCCATACCACACAGTACTATCACAGTTGAAAGAATAGCACCTCCAATGCACATACTGCTTGAAAGTACATTGATCTAAGAATTAAATCAAAATATTCTTACCTAAGCTCTCAAGAGACTATTCCAGCCTTCTGTCTGACCCAGGATGGAAGGTAAACACAACTAGTGAGATGTGACCTTAAATACTCTTCAACCTCAGGGACAGGGGCGGCTACTAATTTGCATATAAAGGTCTCTATCTTAGATGACATCATTAGAAAGCCTTTCCATTGCTGGTATTCAAATTCAAACTGTGATGATTAACTAGAGGGCAATGAGCTTCTTTTGCTTTGAACTCTGGGTAATTTGGTTATGACCAGAAAGTGTGATTTCAAGGACTGAAAGAAAAAGCTGACTCAGTAAACTGCTCCCATGAGCTGCACTATAGATGATCATCATGTGCTATACAAACAAAGTCCTTTTTCTTTGCTCATACTGAGATTAAGCACAGCTGTTTTACATTAATATGTACATGGTATGATAGGTCAAGATTGGAGAATAGCATACAAAATCAGAATATGTGCACTTTAGGATAGAAAAAATTGTCTTACTCATTGTGGAAACCTGAAGATTCATGACGGCATGGCCTGGTACTCCGTCTTTGGGGCCAAATAATTGTTAAACATCATTTAAGATGAATACGGAGCTTCAATGGGAATGCTCATCCAGTCTTTGGCACATTTAATTGTGTATTATCAAGTAAAATAATGTAAAAGCTATGACATCCACTTGGCAGATATTGCACTATGCAACAACGTGAAGAGAATTTTACTTTTTACTTAGCTACATTTAGTTTCTAGTTACTTTTCAGAATCAGATTAACTACACAAAATACAGCATAATCTTAAGAGTTTATTGATCCCTAGTGGGAAATTCACAAGCTAACTAGCAGCAATTAGCTCCACCGTTACCAACTGCAACATTACACTGACAAAAACATCAATGCATCAGTAATTAAAATCAAATAGTAAAAGATACATCGATGTAATATATACCATTCTGCATAGTGACTGATTTTACTTTTGGTACATCAAGTATATTTTTATGCTAACACTTTTATACTTTGACTTAAGTAATATTTAGTATCTAGGACTTTTACTTGTAACAGTATTTTTACACTGTGGTATTGCTACTGAACAATCTCAATACTTCTACCATTGGTTGGTTATATGTATCTATTGTTCATGACATGAGGTGCACAAACAGTTTTAGGTGCCAGAAGGAGAATCTGGACATTACTGACCAGCTCTTAACGTAAAAACACATCAAGTACAATGTGTAAATGTGGCATTACTGATAGATACGGATACATTTATCTTGTTAACATTTGCCTCTATACTTACTGTATGTCTGCTTTAATGTGTTTTTTTTGTTTTGTTTTGTTTCCTGACAGTTTTTAACTTGGGAGAAAGAAATAACGGCCTTTAATTGTTCCTTATCTCATTTTTTTGGAACTTAAACGTATGCGGTAAGCAGGTCCATCTAGAATATTTTCTGTGAAAAGATATAATTGCACATAGCCCTAATCTACTTAGTTGAGGGATATTTCCATGGAAACTAAACAGAGTTACCATAGAAACATCATCTACGCTAATGCACAAAGGTTCAAAGCCCATCTCCTATGGTCTAATGCCACTCATAAGATTGTCCTCCACACCACTGCAGATGTAGCAGCTGTCAATATGGCAGACTGCTGATTTCTAATAATAATAATATAAGGATAATCACCTTTATTTGGCCAAGTATGTTACACACAAGGAGTTTGTTTCTGGTACAGAACCGAGGCAGCCATCTGCAGCACCAACTCATACCAATGGCTCTAGCAATCAGAGGCAACTTGGGGTTCAGTGTCTTGCCCAAGGACACTTCGACACGTGGACTGCAGGCACCAAGATTCAAACCTCTGACCAGGAGATGATTGCTCCACCCACTGAACCACAGTCGCCCCCCTAATGTTAGAGATGGTTGAGTATTGAGCTTTAATGGTGCTACAAGATGTCAATAAAAATTTACACAAATAGAAAAAAAATTGTATCAGTAAATGTACAGTAGCAGTGCACAAATAAAGTCAGAAATAAAAAGTCCTGCATTTAAAATCTTACAAATTAAGATATATGCATGTAAGGACAAGTGTTCCCTTGTGTAATGTTGCTCGTTATCCACAGTATTCATACTGTCTGGGCTACTGGGTTCCCATCACAGTGACTTACCCACTGAGCACAATTCAGTTCTACCAACAACTTTTGACCTGTCATGTGCAAGAGAGAACAAGGAAATGAATATATACTTTACAGAAATCAAGCATTTTATTATAAACTCTTTAGGGATCAGCTGGAAAATGCTCTCCAAGCTGTTGTCACTACTTGAAACTTCAACATGCTAGTCACCAATTCAATGATTTAAATTTAGATATACACATGAGCATGCAATGTACAAATAAACCTGAAATGTAATAAACAAAATAATAAAGCTTGAAGGCTATGTCTAAGAAACATACACTTGGAGTTGCAAATCATTAACCAAGTTCCAGGTTTCAAACACTATCAAATGTTACATTTTGCCTACATTTCCAGCTGTTTATCTAGATCTCAACTGAATCAAGCTGGCATTTAAAGTTATACAGTTAGTATGCATTTTACTTGGGCAATTCTTAACACATTTCCTTAAAACCACACAAGCTAAGCAATGAAATTTGGTCACATAAAACCTTTATTAGAACTTCAATATTTACAAACAGCATACAAAATGCATTAGAACAAAACATTAGCAACAGTGTGGAAAAAACAAAACATCTTGACATGAGATGGAGATGAAAGTTGGTGACAAACAGCTTAACAGGCCAAAGTAGCCATTTTAAACTTCACAAACTATCACCAAGCAAAATTATAGGCAATGGTGTGTTGTGTCAAAAAGTATGGCTTCTAAAATGCCATCACATAAATCATAATACCGGAAGACTTCCTTCATTGGGTATAAAGTATACCGCAATACCATTACCTGTTCTCTCACAATGGATTCACTCAATACATACAACAACATAACTCTCCTTGACTGCCATACATTGTGAGCGTTGAGACATGTTCAGAAATAACTAAGACAGCTAATACAGAAAGGCAAGCCAAAGGAGAAAGGTGAATCCTGAGGAAACAGGCATAGGTGCTGCAAGGTGTTACAAGGACCAGAGGGGAGTACTACTAGGAATGCCATGTCAGTCTCTCCTCATAGAAGGAAATAACCACTTGAGGGCAGCGGGTGTTGGCCTCACGGGCTGGGACCAAATCTGCTTCATCTGAGTCTTTCCTAAAACACAAAGACAGGCAAAGAGTGGGCAGCATTACAGCAAATATCAACCCATGGGTACTACAACGCCATTATTTTTTTTATATATACTTTGACTATTAGAACTGGAAGGAAATTCTATCACAACAAGAAAACCGAGGGAAAGGTACATGCAAAGTCAGAGTATGAAAGTAATAATGAACTTACTAATGGGACTATTAAATGCTTCAAGAGCAACACATGCAAAAGAATGCAAGTTTGAGCTGTTTAGACATAAAGAGGATTACCTCCTTATCTACTCACCATTTCATCAAGAACATCAACTCCCCACTACTGTCTGTTGCACCAATGATCCGTTCTGGTTCAAGGTTCCTAGCAAAGCCACGTGGTTTCTCAGCCTGCAAGTGGTGACAACTAAGCACGAGCACATGCAAAAAAACTGGAGCAGTGTATTGTATTGTTCCTGAATAATATCAGGGAACTTGGTTTGATCCCAGTCTAACTCAGGACAGGTTCTGTAGGTTTAGCATTATAACATCCTAATTAGGGATGGGAATCAAGAATGGGTTCCACATTGTACAATCCATCGGAATCATATGCCCCTGATGTTATCAATTCCTTTTAACGCTGCTGGCATTTTTTCCTGACAGCAGTGCATTGAAAAATCTTGTGCTGAAAATGAGGAGGAGTCATGGTGGTAAGGAAGAAGCTGTCCAAAGCGTGGCTTCATTTTGTGAAGAAAGATGACAACAGTGCTACTTGCAATGTGTGTAAAATGATTATTTCAAGTAAGGGTAGAAACACCAGCAAAATCTTAAGACATCTTTTGATGCGAAAAGGAGCACTGTTATTTAACATGTTCAAACAGTGTTTCCCATACCTCGACTTGCCACAATATCACCATTGACTGCAACATATCAATTTAATATACGTATAAGTATTGGTATTGTAAAATCTTATCAATTCCCATCCCAAACCTAATATATAGGCTATCATGGTACAAAAGTGAATTAATAACTTTTGGGTGACCTAAACAACAACCTAATGCTTACATGTGACATTTTACTATACAAATTGAAAAAAAAGTGAGAATTATCCTCATGAAATTTATTCCCACTGTTAAATTCAATCAGTGTCAAATGCAGTAAGACTTGGGTTGGAGATGTACTGTATGTGACAATATTAATGAACTCACCATGTCTTTCTTCTTGGCTTGTGCCTCTGGCTCATCTGTTGATGCCTTCCTCTTAACAGGAGCGGGTTTCTCCTTAATACTCTTCTGAGCTTCCAGAAACGCTGAAATCAGCTCTGGACAATCCAGGTTCTCCTCTGGCTCCCAGGTATTGTCAGCACTAAAATGAGCAGAATAAGGATCAGCACTAGCATTAGTAAACATCCCTCAACAACACAAATTTTCCTCAGGAAAGATGCAAACAAATTAATTCACTTTAAAAGCTTGTATGCAGAATAGCTGCTTCTTCACGGAACCACAATGACAGGGAAGCACTTCCAGTTCAGCGCGAGGCGGATGTTCCAGGCAACTCACTCTGTAAATCCTTTCCACTTCAGGTAGAATTCTACTTTCCCGTTAACAATACGTTGGTCGAGTACTTTTTCCACAACAAATTCTTCTGGTTCCTCCTGTGCATCCTTCTTACCCTTGGTATTCTGCTTCTTGCCCATACTGTACTCTAAAACGAAAAGAAGTTGGAGGATTCCTATTGTTTAGGTTTTTGGCAATGTCACACTAATACGTTACATTAATATACACAAAGCTGCATTCGAGTTGAAGGAAATAAAGACTAGACCAGCATTCCCAAAATCCGCCACTAATCAAGGAGCCTTAAGCGAACTCACTTCTTAACCTAGCTTCTTAGCCTAGCTAAGAAGTACCCGGTAAAGTGTTATCGAAGTCAGCCAGATAATGAGTTAAGTTAGCTTGCGTGCTAACTGTTACGTTAGCTGGTATAGCTAATTTCAAATGTGGGTGACAGAGTACATTTCATTTACTTTGCTGTACCAACTGGAATCCAGTATTAACAAAGATAGTTATGAATAAAAAACTTAGTGACTGAATATCGGCAGTGTGTATTATGCTAATCAAGGTTAAGTTAACACCGGGCTAGCCAAAATACGCTCAGAAGCTATTAGCATGTAACTAAACACATCTAACGCACTTGAAGCTAGCTGTTCATCTAGTTAGTCAAAACAAGTCCGTATACTTTGAGATATTTTAGCATGCACTGCCAATGCATGCAGACTGATATAATATAACCAAGCTAGCTTAATACGGTTAAGATAATTTTAAGACTCACTCCATCTGCATAACCTACGTTGCCTGCTTACGTTGCAAAGTAAGCCACAACTCATAAAACAGATAAAGCTATAGTCAGCAGGCCTAGATTACGCTATTTATATTGCCGAGTGTTACACAACGCTGCGTTTACAATAACTCATTTCTGCATACGCACCTTAAAAACGCTTCAGTACCCTCTTACCACGCGGTCGACCTGCTCTTCCTCTTTTGTTTGTAACACCGGCGGGTACTGCAACGCTCCAAGCACTAAATTTCAAGCTGATTTAGCTCTGCTACGGGAGCCTGGAAGGAAAACGCGCATTGCTATTTATGTATTGCCGCTCCAACGCCCGTTCATCAGAAGCTGGATACAACGTAGGCCTATCTGAACCTGGCCTGTCTCAGAACAATTTCTTTATTGACTGAACTAAGTTATTTTTCAAATAGGACTTACCTGCAAGGATGCCTTAAAAATAAAATCACTTCTGGATACCTTGTGATAAACGTGTGTAAGAGGACATAGAGACTTTATTAAATCAGAAAGAACAGTGCCTGCAAGAGCTTTTATAATTTCCTAAGCAAAATCATATCATCACAAACACTGTGGTGTCAACATCTGATTGTGCATCCCTGCAAAAAAGAAAAAACATAATAAAAATGAGATGTAAATGTATACAGACAGTAATACTCTTGTTCAAACAATGAAATTAAAATATTTGTGAGGGACAGGGGGAGTAACTCCTTTAATACTTGATGCACTTCATCCATTTAACTCACTCATTGACTGACTATATAAAGGCATCCTCATGAATAACATGGCGACATGTACTAAATAGTTAATACAGCTCAGATAATAATTTTAATAGTGAAACATTGATACATTAAGGGCATCTGTGATTTGTGTACACACAATAAGCAAACACCAAATGCTAATTAAGGCTTGTCAAATTTAATCATTGGTATCTTGTATGTCAGCAAGACAAAAAAAGAAAGAAATCTTATATTTGTTGTTTCAGTTCAAACTTTTGCAGAACAGCACATGCCCTCAAATACCAAACCAGCTAATGGGTAATATCCCAATTTTCCTACCGCTCTGAGATAAAGTTACCATTATAAAAAGACACATACTGCCTTCGACAGTCTTATGATCCATATAAGAATTTTAGGAACATCAGAAACTTTAATAAATACAATCTTTATCCTCCTCCTTACACTGAACGGATATACAGTGAGAGTCAAGACTACTTGGAAACAAACAGAATCCTTTCTATCCAGTATCTGTTACAGTGCTAGCCATATTGACTTTTAAACATACCTGGCTGTCTATGCTCATCTGTAAAAACAAATGTAATGACTTTAACTGGCACAAAGAGACACTGGTAGCATTGTCAGCAGCTTAGCTATTCTCTTAAACTGGCCCCAGTGCCTTTCCATCTATCGTCCAGTGTGTAAACTACATTTTTCCATGAGACATTTTATTTGCAGGAAAAAAAAGTTATGTCGACGGTTTCTTTACTTTTCGCAATTTTGCCAATTTAGGCTCCCAACAGTGGTGAATCCACAAGCACTTTTACAAAAGGAGATCCCAAAGAGTCAGGCAAGTAAGTTCAGTAATAGCCCAAAACCTAAAAACTCAGTCTCAGCTGGCAAAACTGCATCATTGTTTTTTCTCTTTCTTCCTCTTGACTGTTTTGTTGCCAGTTGACGTGGCGACAGCCGGCCGCCTTATAGGCTGAACTACAACCCTTCCATTAGCCCCGCACTGCAGGGTGAATCTCTCTGGGTTCAGGGGCTGTCCCGATTCATCCCTCAGCTGGGCCAGGACATCTCTGGTCAGCTGCTCAATCTGCTGGCCCACAGCACCCATTGTCTTGACTTTAAGCTGTTTCTCCCTCAGTAGCCTATCTCTCTGAGCTTGCAGCCTTTCAACTTCCTCCTCAAGCCCTGTGATAGCATCTAGTTTTCGCTTGCGGCAGTTTTGCGCCGCCAATTTATTCTTTCCCCGCCTGCGGATATCCCTCAGTAGTGTCACCTGTTCAGGGGATAAGCCCTGACCGTCAAGAACTTCCAGGAACTCCTCTACAGGCATGTTAACAATCTGCAAGACAGAAAATGGGATGCACATGGCACGGGCACGTAGCTCATCGCGACTCAGCTCCCTTTCTTCAAACCTTGGCCCATCATCATCGCTGAGAGGCTCCTCCTTGATGCCTTTGTGCGGAAGTGTTACTGATGGCTGGTTGAGGAAATTAGGAGATGAGTAGCTGTGGTCATGCCATACACTCTCACTCAGATCAACAGGTGACAATGCTGTGGTGTAGTCCATGATGCCTTTTGAGGCGACTGAATCCACCTCACTGCTATAGCCTGTGGCTCCACACTCGTCCTCACAGTATGAACTGGATGATGATGACATGTCTGATGAGCCTGGATGAGTGGGGAGTTAAAGAAAGCATTAATAACAGTTTCTTGGATCCACAAGCACAGAGTATAAACATATTTAATCTATGTTTATACTGGATCAAGATCTGAACCAACCTGGGGAGACTGGGCCTCCAGAGCTGCTCTCCAGAGAGAGCCCAGAGTCTGAGTCCAAATCTTCGAGGAGTTGGGAGTCTAGGTTCTGCAAACTGTCCATCAGCTGATTGTCGATAGCGTCCATACCTTCTAAACCTAGCTGATTGATCTGATCAAACACGGCCTCATCCAAACAGCCACCCATTGCACTGTGCGATGACACATTTCCCGTTAAATTACATAATGAAACAAAGGGTAGAGCAGCCAGGCTCAGGGCCATCCCTGGTGAAGCATCTGAGTGTGAGAGGCCTGTAGATTCCTGTTGGAATAGGGTTCGTTGTTGCTGGGTGAGTGGTCTGGCCTCAGCTCTTTCTGTCACTACACCAAAGGCTACCAAAGCATCATGCAAACTGACATCCTGGCTGATGGCACTGGTGATGTCTGTGTCCATAACAAGAGAGTCCAAGTCCTATACAAGAGACACACATTTTAGTTCAACCATATTGTTCACAGCCTTAAACATCTTCTTACACAGGGCACAACTTTTTGCTATATCTGACATTAAGCCTCACATAAAATTAATTTTCAGAAAACTTACATCAAGGTCAGTGACAGAGAGAGAAAGTAAACTGTTCCAGTGCTGGTCAATATTAGGTGTAGGAGGATGGTCCGCTGGATCAGAAAGTGCAGCGATGCCTTCGAGGAGACTCTGAAATACGCAAAGCATGCAGAAAAAAACTGCCATCACACAGAAAGTAATAAGTTTTGTTGCCAAAGTTATGACACAAATGTGAATTAAAGTACTGTACTTAAATAATATTTTTCCCAGTAAGAGACAGTAATCATTGTGCTTCAACATCCCTAATTCTACTGGGTGTTACCAAAGCTGCATCATCATCAGAATGATGAGTCAGGAACATGATTTTCTGGTTAAAAATGGGCACAACACCAATTTCCAGCACTGACATCTAACTGTACATTTTATGTAGATGTGGCACTGACAAAAAAGGTAGTGTGCCGTATGTTTCATAAAACGGGCAGTGTTTTTAAAACACTGATAAAAATGGGCAACGTTTTCAACAACATGCAGCAACTAATGAAGGCAAATGTGATAAACAATTGCATACCTCTTGTTCCAGTGTAGAACTGTGG